AACAATGTTCCAGATTTGAGTTTTTCCCTTCACACCTTCTTCGTCCGATTTCGTTGAAAAGTCCTATCCTTTTGACCTCTTTGAAGACATTATCCCCTGATTTTTATCGAGAGTTTTCTTAGGTGACTTCGGTCATTTAAGATGTAATTAACTATAGGGGCTTGCCCTTATAGGGAGTTTTTCCGAACCCAGCTTAAAATAAACCCTATTTAATTATTTGTATTAAATAGGGGAACTTGTCGGCAAATAAAACGGTTTCGCAGACCCAAACGGATGTCATATCTTTCTTAGTTTATTTGATCGAGCCTCACCCTCAAGTCTTGTGTTTATCCCTTGGGGTAGATACAGGATTTGAGGTTGAGTGCTCTTTCATTTAAACTATGGAAAATATGAGGTCAGTTTGATTTCATATTTTTCTAAAATTATATATATATACGTAAATTAAAAAGTCCTTCCGAAGCGGGCGACGGGATTTCGATTCCGGCGACCGACGGCTTCTTACGGGCGACCCCCAAACATTCAAACTCTCTTTTCCCCCTTTTAAGCGCCGACAGTAATGTTCTCACTAAAGCTTTACCCTATGTTCAGTCCACTTCAAATTTATGTTCTGAGTCTTCTAGTCCTGAACCTGAGCTTAGTTACAATCATAAGTCTAATGATTCTAGTCTTCTGGTTGTTGTTTGTAAAGGAGTAAGTCTTACACTCAACATTCATTATCACATTATGTGTCATTTGAAAATCTCTCACCCATTTTATGTGTTTTTACATTAGAATTTACCTTATTTGAAAATTTCTAATATTATGCGGGATGCTATAAAAATTCTTAAGTGGAAGAGGTTGTTCTCGAGGAGAAGAATGCTCCTAAAAAAAAGGCATGTGGGAGTTTGCTGATCTACCTAGAATGAAGAAAAATGAGTATTTACAATCAAGTATAAGTTTGATGGCTCTCTAGAACGATACAAGGCATGACTAGCTATCAAGGGATTCACTCAAACATATGGTAATTATTACATAGAGATATTTGCCCCACTCACAAAACTAAACTCTATAAGAGTTCTTCTGTCACCTACAATTAATTTTGATGGCCCCCTACAACATTTGCATGTAAAAAATACATTCCTCAATGGAGATTTGTAGGAAGAAAAGTTTAAAGAACACCTCTAAAATTTTGTGAAAACTTAGGGAAAAAAGTTAGTGACTTGAAGAAGTCTTTATATGGATTGAAGCAATCATCAAGAGCATTGTTTAAAAAATTTACTCCGTTTTTTAAAAGTTAGAGGTATACTAAAGAGCAAGTAGATCGTATAGTTTTTTTTAGCATTCAAATAACTGTAAGATAGCCATATTAATTGTGTATGTATACAACTTTAATAACCGTTTGAAGACTTTCCTTATACTGTGATAATAAAGCCATCATAAGCATCATGTAAAATCTAGTACAATATGATCGCACAAAAAAATTGGATACTGCCAGGCACTTCATAAAAGAAAATATTATTTGTGGAGTTGTTTGCACAAATTTTATTCCTAATGCATAACAAAATGTAGATAGATATTTTCACCCAAAAAAACTTTTCAGGTCTAACTTCGAGCACTTTGGAAACAAGTTGGACATGATAAATATCTATGCTCCAACTGAAGGAGGGAGATTTTTAGAAAAGAAATTAGAAGTTCCTATTTTTAAAACTTCTATGTTTAGAATTTTTATTTTTAGTAATTTTCTAGTTTTAGATTTTTTTTTCAGATTTCTAGCATGGGATTTTTGCTAATTTTGAGGCTTTCTTAATTTGGTGGCCTTCCTCTTATTAATTATCTTCTTTTATGAAATTCAAGAAAAATCATTATTTTTTCTTCTCACAAAACCTTGATAGCCATTGGAACATTCATGTGTTTAATGAATCATGTTAAGGCATTCTAAATAAAAAAAATGAAACTTTTTCTTTTATTATATACATATATTTAGTAGGTTTTATGAACACTTCAATCACTAGCAAGAAATTCTTGAAACTTTAAAAAAAGAGATTATTTTGAAGTGTATAGTTTAAAGGCTATGTAATTTCTTCTCAAGCAGTGAAGGTTGACTAATCAAAAGCAAGAGCAATTGCATGTGGCCAACACAAAGATCTATCAAGGAGGAAGGTTTCATGCCATATCTTATCATCACTTGTTAAAAATTTTAACACTTCCATTCCTTCGTTGTTAATTGTTTGAAAGGTAACAATGTTGGTCAACCAAGGAGGTGGATGATAATTTTAAGTGAATTAAAAGAAATAAACCAAAGCACACATACTTTGTTAAATTTCGATGATATTTCAAAGTAAAATGTGAAACATCCAAAGTTGCTTCTGTTGTCATTCTCAATCAAAATATAACATCTATCGGCTTCTCTAGTCAAAAACTAAATGATTAAAAAAACAATATTTTACACACAATTTGAAAATGCATACTATTATTCAAGCTTGATGATTTTTGCAGAAAAACTATTTAAATCACAAAAAATATATTGACTTTCCAAACAAGAAGCTCTCTTGATTTTTAATGTTAAAACAAATTGAATTCTACACACGTCAAATGAATCTCAAATTTTCCAATGTATAACTATGTTATGCACCATGATTTAGAAGATTTTAAAAAAAAAAAAGCTAACACACTAAATAAACTTTTCATTTAGAAAATAGAAAATGGCATGTACTCTTACGCTAACCGCTTGAAGATATTATGATGCAACATTAAACTATGATATCAAATCAAATGAAACAGTAATTTCATGCCAACACAAATAAAACTTCACAAATCATAATCACCTAATCTAGATAACTAATTTGTTTCTATAAAGGCAAATTAAAAATGCTGAAAAAAACCTTGCATATGATAACTTAATAGTTTTCTAATAAAAGTATCACGTAGAAATTAGAATCATAAGAAAAACATATATCAGCTAAAAAAACACCACCATAGAAATTCATATTGTATCAATTTTTACAAGAATTAACAATGCATGAACACTAAATCAATATTTAAATAGATAATAAAAAAAGGATATCACCAAATTAAATTTTCCGACTATACACTGAGAAAAACTCCCACGAAAAATCATCAGACTTCCATTGGATTAAGGGAAGAACTAGAAAGAATAGCACAATCAAACAAAAAGTTCATTCATAATACTTGTTTAAGTTATTACATGGCTCAAGCACATTTACTATATTCAAAATCCCCTCAAGCTTGCCAACAACAACAACAACAATAACAAAGCCTTAATCCCACTACGTGGGGTCCCCTCAAGCTTGCCGAAAATACAAAATAACAATCGACATCAGAAATTCATGAGAATCACAATCAAAAAAACCTTTGGATGTCTAGAGTCGCAGAATATTTGGTTAAACAATAGATGAATCAGAAGATAACCTACAAGAAAGACGTACAGGACCCCTACATCCCAACTCTGCCACTCTACTCTCACAACTCCATCCCAAAAAGCAACATAAAACTATACCAAAATAAAATTACATTGGAATAAAGAAGTCGACAAACAATATGCCACAAGCCACAACCAAATCTAACTGCCATAAAACACCAAGGAAAACTGTCCCAAACCAGCCACAAGCTTCCAAAAATCACGAATATATAGACTTTCAAATGCAGCCACAAGCCTCAGAGTCTACATCACTTAGGAAATACTAAAAGCCTAGAAACTTTTAATAAGGGCTAACGAGGTGTACCCAATGGAAGTTTGCAGGATGCCTTTAATAAGCTAAACCCTCATCCCTCATGTCCTGTGATATGGTAGGTCTCCATAAACAACCCATAACCTTATAAAATATAGCTGACATAAAAAAATTATGATGGCCAAATTTTCAACGCATTTTGTTAGGCACGCCTCATCTTGTAGACTACCCAAACCTTGGCGTCCATCTTCAAGCAAGACAATAAAACATTCACCAAAAATCCCAAATAAACAATTTAAAAAAACTACTATCCCAAGTCCCAACACCACTACCCAGCACCTTCTGCAATTTTAGAAATAACACAACATTTCATCCACAAAGATAAAACAACAAACCATCTGTTGCTATTCCACTATACAAATAAATTACTAATGCAATTGGCTATCAACAGGTAACGTAGAAAATAGATGCCAAATTCTGCAGGATAAGCAAAATTTTATGTCACGTCAATTTCTAAGTAAAATGGACAGTTGAGCTTTCACAATGGCAGGTTTCTTCCAACTCCAAAGCATATGCAAAAGTAAGGCTAGTAACATATGAAATGCATCAGCTGTCATCATTAAAAAAGAAATGCCAGAAGAAAAAAGAAGGAAGACTTAGCACATGATGCAAAAAATAGTAACTTAAATTGGTATGCTTACTTTGACTGTGCATAAAACTAAAAATTCTTTACTGGTACATGAATAAACACAACAAACTTGACCAAAAACAACTATAAAATAACATTACACATTATTTTTACTCCTTTTTCAATACATTCAATAGAAACAATGTATATTAAAATTGCTGCACTGGAAAAATGTGAACTATATCCCGAAACAGAGGTAATAATCACTCAGTTCATTATTTCCAATTTATAAAAAAAGTAAATGCAAGTCCAATGAAGGTACAAGAATATTATAATTAATTTGAATAAAATTATAAATGCTAACCTCTTGAACTTCATTTTCAGGTGCAATAACTGAAAGAACATTAAATTTTGCTGATTGCTGAAACTCCTTTAGATTAGTCAAGAAATATTTATCTGAATCCAAGTTCTGTGGACTGGAAGGATTGCAAACTAGGTGCAATGAGTCATTCATTTTTCTCTGCAAATAGATTGGCTTTGGTTCAGCAAGATTATCTATATTAATAATATTCCAAAACTCATCTTGGCAATCTTCAACCTCTCTTGAAGCTCTTTTATTTTCCTCTCCATATGATCTAAGGAGTCGTGGCCTGTTATCATGATATTTGAGCTTTCTTAGCAGAGAATGTCTCCTTTCAATGACTGACTTATGTAAATCATTCCGCTCTACGTTAAGCACATCTTTAACCATATGAGAATCCCCAATTGAGTTTATGTAGCCAACATCAACTTGCCATGTGCTTTCAGGTTTCGGTGGCACAAAAATAGCTGATGAATTTGGATGATCTTCAAAACCTGGGAGAAGTTCATCACACTGATCTTTCCGGCCATCATTACTGCTAATACCAGAAGGATAAGACCATGAACCACATATATGTTCTTTATTAATCCTTTTATCTGACTTTCTATTTAAACTAAGCTTACCAAGATTTATTGGAGTTTCTTTATCAGATGTACTTGAGCCTTCACCAACTAGCATCTGGCCAGATGGCCTGGTTGTTTTCCATTGCTCTTGATGGCCCTTCATGGACTCCCTACTTAGAGATGGTTCAATCACATAAGTTGATGAAGAGTTATTTTTGTCAATCTTTGCAGACACCGCTTCAGAATAGCTTCTTAAAGACTGTTTTACTTGCATCGAAATATTGGTAGCAATGTCATTAGCAGCAATCATGTTGCATCCTTTAGTTTTGATATCAAACAATTGGTGGCACTCTCCTCTTTGAACAAGGAACTGTCGATGAAATTTTGTGTCTCTCCTACAATTGAGTCTATAACTTTGAAGGTATTTTGGACATGACTCGGTCCTTTCTGTGCTCCGCACCTTTTGATTACCCGGCTTCAGGATGACAATAGAAGTTGGAATTGGATGTGTTGAAGTCTCAGGTTTCCCTATGTACGGTGATCTTGGGAACTTGGACAAAAGAGAATCCATTTGATTATAGGTAGAATGGTTGTGGAGGCTAGTACAAGATTTTGTACAACAATGTGTGGTATCTTTCATTTTATCTTTATGTTCCTTGGTTTCTTCCACTGAGCTATAAAATGTATCACTCATATCAGCTGAAGATTCTAAAATGTTAAAGCGATTTGCATTGGAGGAGGATTTTGAATGCATTAAGTCTTTGAGATGCTTAGCAAAAAAAATAACCTTATTTGCATCCATCATGTCAAGTGCATCTCTGAATTCTCTGGATTTTTTATGTGCTTCATTTGTGTATAGACGTCTTGCTTCAACTAATTGCTGTTCTATGAAAGCAATGTCAGGCTTTGAATTCCGCTTTTCCTTCTGAACCACCTGGTCAACATGAATCTTAGCTTTTGAGGAATCAAAATGGTCATGTACAATCTTAAAATTGTGGTTCCATCTTCTTCTCACATGAAAAGAATGATTCCCAAAACATTCATACTTCTTCCCAAGTCCTGCAGATGATTTATTGAGCACAAAATGTCCAGTTTCATTTTTTATTTTAGAAACTACCTGGGGTGGAGGGAGCTCATCGAAACCCATCAGTTTTGCAATAACACTTCGAGAGGAGTGCCTATTTTCTACAATTCTTGATACCAATTGATCTGTTATTTTATTCATTGGTGTCCCATCAACTTTCTTGCACAATCTTCCATGTAACTCATGGGAAAACTGAAAATAATCAGGAAGCAATAAGTAGACTGCTGACAACCATTTACATAAATGCATAGTGCATCATTCCCCTTCAAAGCAACTATGATAGAAAGAAACATGAGAGCAAAAAACAGGACAGATATCATATAACAATAGATAGATTTAATGAAAGACATTAAGCATTGCAATTCAGAAGAATCCTGCCCGAATGTCTTATTTTCTTAGAAAAGAAACAAATAGAAGTGATATATATGACATCAGGACTTTCAATGCAGATCTAATTTATGCACATCATTGTCCCATGATGACCAGACTATGCACTTACTAATTCTTCTTCGGTAGTAGAACCATCGCTTGAAGTTGAACACAAATCTCCCTTTGAAGATTTTGCCTGTTGCCTGGAATGATAATATTCTGAAACAGAGCAAAATTAGTCTCAGCTATGAGATTAAAACTAACCATAAGTGCAACAAGAATCATCATCATCATTATTAATTTATCTCAAATATTTGGGTGGATTTTACAATCCTCATCCTCCATTCATTCATGTTAATTGTTCATGGGGTGCTCAGTTTAACAAATCATTTTGGAAAACTTGTGATTTTTGGTCTAGCCACTTTACTTCCTAAACTTTCAGCATTAATTTTATTGATCATTTAAGAAAGCAACTTTGCAGCTAGCAAAAAGCACTCCCCAAGGCAGATACAGCAAAGTTGCCTTATGTTAGTGGGGAGAAATACGTCCAATAGGCTGGGATGTCGCACAGAATATGCATGGGCATTTCTTTGGTACCAAATTAGCGATAAATAGACCGAACATCATAATATTAATGGGATTTTTACATATCAACCACCCAAAACACTCAATAAAACATTTTAACCACCAAGACTTTAAATAAAATGTTTCAACCATTTTTTTTCATTACAACCATCCTCCACTAGTGAATGCTTTAGAGTTAAAGTCTTGGATGGTTAAAATGTTTTATTTAAAGTTTGAGTGGCTTCAATATTATATTGAATGTTTTGAGTGGTTGGTATGTAAGAAACCCAATCAATTTAAAATCATCAAATAATAGATTTAGCCTACTATAAATAGCATTCCCATTATTTGAGTCCCTTAAATAACAAGATTATTTGCCTCAATTTTAGCTCTAACTAATTTATTCAAGTGTACTTGTCAGCAAGAAAAAAAATAAGTTGTATTCAATCTTTCTTTCTTTTCTTTTTTTTTTTTCCTTTTTTTTTTAGGCATGAAAATTAAAGCAAACAAGTTGAGAATGTATTAGAAATAGTAGTAAAAAAAGAATTTGTTCTTGAAATTGAATTTACAATATCTCAACCTGCAATTCCATGTGATTTAAATGGGAGAAGACATTGAGGATAAGAATTTGAAGATTAGATGTTTGGATGTATAAATAACTGTCATGTTTTAAATGCGGTCTAATTTGATTTCTATTTAAAGTGGAATTAAAGATTCATAAAATAAAATATTATCGTTTTTTATCTAATGTTTTATTTTAGAAATATGTAGGCATCAAACTTGAAGAAAAACAATGAATTAATGTATTAAAAAATGAGAACAATGATGGAGACGAGGTGGAGTTAGTTCTTGGAATTGAATTTGTAGCAACTCAATCTGCACCAACATGTGATTTCAACGGAATAAGACTCGCATGATAAGGAGTTTTAGGAATGGAGACTTTAGAAATATATAATTAGTTGTATTATTTCACTTTGATGTCTAGTTTAGTTTGATTTTATCTGCGTGCGCCAACTGAACTTTGGGGTTCAAAAATATGGACTTTATAATTTACTCTATTTTTTTCATAAACTGGATATATTCATCTTTTGTCAATGAAATATAAATAATAATCTTTTGTCAATGAAATATAGATAATAATCTTTTTTCAATGAAATATAAATAATAAATAAAATTCAGCAGGCTTACATCCTGCCTAGCCTATAGATCCATCTTCTCAAACATTGATTTTAGTTATGTAATATTTGTGAAGAATAAATGTATTATTAAAATAAGTAATGAATATGAGAATTATAATTGTAGTTGAATAAATTATTACGAAAAATTTGATGCTTAGCTAGTCATTGAGGTCAAATTAAATTTCAAACTAATCAATAGCTAAAAAACTAATTTATTAATTTAGTATGTAAATAATATAATGTTGTATATATAAATTGTTTGTTATGAAAAATTTTAGAATGGAACTGAATAATTACAATAAAAATAAAGGGGTTTTTTCAATGGATTCTGAACCTACCCAAAAAGGTTGGTAAGGCCACTTGAATATGTGAGAATAAGAGGGAGACTGAGAAGTGATAGAGAAAACAGAAGATGGGAGCGAGAAAGAGATAGAACGAATTAAACACAACGGATTTTCCAAGAGTGAAAGGGTGTCGAGCAAGATGTGAATTCTAATTTCGTGTGTAAAATTGATTAGATGAGTTATAAATTCAATTATTTTCTAACTTATCTTTAGCTTCAGTTAAAGTTAACCTAAAGCCTACACTTCTCAATTTAATCCTTGAAAATAATTTAATTCAAAGTTCAGATTAGGTTTTCAAAATAAAACAAAAAAAATCCTATACAAACTCATTAACTCTATGTCAAGAAAATCTTCTTTCGACTTCATGTGATCATAAATTCATGAGAAAAAAAAAACTTAGGTGAAGTTTTAAAAGTATGTTTAAGAATTAAAGTGCCATATATGATATATTTAAAAAATAAAACTGATCTAATTAAATGATAGTTTTTATAAAACAGTTGTATACACATTTATAATTATATTTATTTTTTCTATAAATGATTGTATGCATGCTAATTTTCAAAGATTCTTTTGAAAGCTTACTGAATAGGGTTAACAAAATTGTCATTAAATGTTATACCTATAATGAATTTATAATTAAAAAAATTTAATAAAAAAAAATACATACATACATAAGGTAGACTTTTAACCTTATAATTATCATTTCATGTTTTGAAGAAAATTTTTCAAGATTATTAATTATAATGCATGGAGAATATAACATACTTAAAAATATAATTTATATTAATATTTAAATAAGGATTAAGCAATATTGTAATAGTTTGCATTAATCCGTATATGCAAGTTAGTATGTTCTAGTTCAAGAAGTGGTCATTTTTTAATAAAATAGATAAATGATATTGAATCTTTATGGTATAAATTTTTGAGGAATGTTCAGTCATGTCTACGTATTAAGAAATCAATTGGTTTTACCATACAAGAATCTAATTCTTGGATATTATAACTGATTTAAAGTGATTAATTAAGGATGTGCTCATATAGAAGTTAAGGAGCCAATTTAGAATTCAAAAGGTTAAAGTGAATGATTACATTTCCTAATTAAATTAATATTCATTTCTTCTAACCAATTGCATTTAATGGATATAGTTAAGGGTGTGTTTGGGGTGGTGGTGCATGATTGCACCACAGTTTATTCTATTTCAAAAGGTTGCAGCTAAAAGCTGTATTTTCCCATCAGACCTAATTACTTTTGGTGGCTGCTAGAAAGTTATGGTCAGATTTTTCAAACAAAAAATAAATTGTAATTGTCACTGCAGCTTTTTGGACAGTAGCTTATTCTTCTCTGCAGTTGCCCCAAATATATCCCAAAATTATTGTTCAATTATATGTATGCATGATATGAGTAATGGTTATTACAAAGTTTTAAAAACCGGACCACATCGGCTGATTCAACTGGTTTGACATTGAATTGGGCATATGGTTGATCCAGGTAACCTCAAAAACCACTTTCGCATTAAACGGGTGAAAAGTGAACTGTTGGTTGAACTGGTTCCAATTACACAGAACATGTCAATCCAAATTATTTATTTAATATTCTTTAATTCTCAATTAAACTATTCATTTTTAAAATAAAAAATTTGATTTTATAAATTATATTGAGTCAGACATATATTAATTAAGTTAACATCATAAATATATTAATTGATATTAGTTCAATCAAACTATTTCATTACATGCTCATCACTAGGTAACTTAAGAGCTCAAGTAGTGAAACCATTTATTTATATATAAACAGCTTCTTCATGATCTGGGCCTGAAAAATTTTTAAGTGTTAAAATATGAGTTAGGCTATAAAAATATAGAATTTGGTTAGGCTTTTCAAATATTTAATGAGCTGCAAATTGTAGGATATTATAATTAAATTTTAACTTCTAATTATTTTATATTGTAAACTATTTATTCCTATTAATTATTATAAATCATACTATTAGAATAACTTATATTCTTATAATAAGTATATATGTTTAATTTATTCTTTTAATTTTTTAAATATAGTTAATATATATACATATTGATGTATTTATTTATAATACATGTAAAATTATATATTAATGAGCTTTATATCAAATTTTAAATTTATAATTGTTGAAGATGTTAATTGTGTTCAAATTTAATTTATTTTGTCATATATTTATCAAATATTTATATTATTGTATCATTTAAATCATTTTATTACATCATACCGTAGGTTCAACCTTGGTTCAACCTTTGAAACTTGAACATTTTATTCTTCCGGTTATTAAAATATAGCTACAAATAGCGACAATTATTCATTTCTCATATAAATGAACATTCATATTGTTTGGAATGAAGAATATTTTCATATTATAACTCACTTATTTCATAGTGCATTTCATTGTTCCTTTAAAATATACATTATATGTAGAGAGAAATAAAAAGAAAACGGTATATATGCATGTTCGTATATACAAGTTGAATGATATAATCTGCTCCTTATAGTGTTAATTGGGAATGATAATATACTCAAGTATTTATGGCTTTACCTTTCACCATAATCGATGGTAAAAATATGGCATACATTTGGAAACACTTATTCCACCTCAAATAATAAAGTCATATTATATGCCTCGTTGCACCAATAGGGAATATACAAGCTAAAGGTAGCTTAAGTTTTTAATCATTGCTATTGACATGGACGTATTAAGTATAGATTGAACTATAAATTATGCTATAAAAACTCTATAATATGAAAAGCTCAATACATGTTTAAACTCTTATTATTAAGATGAATGTTATGATTCTATAACAATACATAAGTCTAACTGCTAAGCAATATTTATATTCATAATTGCTATTTTAATGGAAAACAATTTCAATGATTAATTCCCAAGACAAAAGCAAGTTCAATGATTTTATTACAGCTTAATTTTCATGGCTAACATGCACATTATTTATCTTTATTTTGAGGTACTATAGTTTGGAACAAGGATATATCCACCGCGTTATATATTTATAACTCATACTTTTAGTTTATAAATATTGTTCAAGTAAATCCACTTTGGAGTAAATGGATAAAAAAAGGAGTTTTATATACAATAAGCACAAAGCAATT